TGGCTGCCTTCTGCATGCCCCCCACTGGGGATCAAGCCTGCAACCAGGCATGTGCCCTTGACTGGAATTGAACCCAGGACCCTTCAGTCTGCAGGCCAATGCTCTACCTACAGAGCCAAACCAGCTAGGGCTGTGTGTATTTTTTAAGACTAGTCAGATAAATGCTTCTATGTGCATGAAATATCTTTAAAAGGTTATGGAAGAAGTAGCTCATGCTTGTTGCCTGCAGGAAGATGAATTTCATGGCAGGGAGACAGAGTGGGATCTAAAGATCAAGGAGACCAGAGTGGCATGGGGACAGGGTAGGAGGAAAAGTCAGAGAGGAGAGCCATAGAGCTGGTGTGTGTGTGTGTGTGTGTGTGTGTGTGTGCGCGCGCGCATGCGCGAGCTCGGGGGGGTCATGAAGTTTCAATCGCACTGTACGTGCGCGCCTACATGTGGCATTTTGTGGAAGAGCCACACTCAAGGGGCCAAAGAGCCACATGTGGCTCGTGAGCCGCAATTTGCCAACCACTGACCTAGGGCCTTGTTGCTGTTGGTGAGGACTTTGATTTTTACTTTGCATGAGATGGGGATCCATTGGAAGGTTTTGAGCTGAGGAGCAGCATGACCTGACTTAGGTTTTCAAATGATCCTTCTGGCTGCTATGAGGAGAACAGACTGGGGGCCAGGGTGGAAGCAGAGAAGAGTGAAGAGGCTGCTGCAGTGACAGAGACAGAGAGAGAATGGAGCTAACACCAAGGGGGGTGGGGAAAAGTGGTCAGAGTCCAGACAGGTTTTGATGGGAGGGCCTGCAGGATGTCCTAGCAGAATCCAGTGTGGGGTGTGAGCAAGGAGCCAAGTAGCCATTATGTAATGTTAATGAGAACAGCTAATCTGGGAGTAATGTGCGCTTAGCATGATCCCATTTTTGTTCAAGTAAACAAATAAAACACCCTCTCCTCCTTGTGCATGGATCTCTGTGTAGGCGTTATCTAGAGCTGCTTGACAAAATACCACCGACTGGGTGGCTTAAACATCAGTAATGTATTTTCTCACAGTTCTGGAGGCCGAAAGTTTAACATGAAGATCCTGTCAGGGAGTTTCTGGTGAGACCGCTCTGACCGTGACCACTGCCTTCTCGCTGTGTCCTCACATGGCCTCTTTCCTGTAGGGCTCCATTCTTATGACCTCACTTAACCTTTATTATCTCCAAGTACAGTCACACTGGGGGTTAGGATTTCAACATTTGAATCTGGGGAGAACACAATTCAGTCCCTAATAATGAGTCTAGACAAGGCTGTGAAAGGTGACCCACAAACAGTTAACACTGACCACCTGAAGAACTGTGGGCCAGGTGGGAGTGTCTATGGGACGGTTTCATTGGTTGCAGTGAATACATGTCAATTTAAAAAACTGTTGACAGGGCATTTAATAGAGATTATAAGAGAGAGAGAGAAAACAGCCTTGCTCAGAATTCATTCCTGCCCATATTTTTCAGGCCCCCGCCGGCCTCTGGATCTGAGCTCCTGGCCTGGCCCCTGGTCCACTCCTGGCCTTGGTGGGGAAGCAGGGATGCTCAGGCAGGCTCGGCAATGGTGATGGCGATTAAGAAGCCAAGGAAAAAGTAGGTGGGTATTATTCCCCTCCCTGAATCCAGTGTGGGGCGTCCATGACAAACCCCCTCTCCCACCCGGCAGGCAAGTTGGGTCAGAGTGTCTGAGACGGAAGTGACGGAAGGAAGCCTTTGTGACTTCCAGCCAGTGAAGTCAGCGGAAGCCTTGGGTAACCCGGCCATAACCAGCTTAGGAGAGACAGGGAGACAGGGCTGAGCTATAGCTATGACTCCAGCTAGCACCTTCTGCACGCCCCACCCAGCCCTCCTTAATCCTCTCAAGCTCCACTGAGTCTCCTAGTTGTTTTCCTTGTCAGCCCATTTGGAAAGGAGCGCGCATATATTTTTCACTTCTCTAGACCCCTCCCAACACCACGGAGCTTGCTTCGACTCCGTACCCTCAGACCACCACAGTTGGGGTTCTGAATTGAAGCTCTGCCACGTAGGCACTCAGCCACTGCTCGTCCCCAGCTGATTTTGAGTGGAGATAGAAATCGCCACCTCATCAAGGTGTGGTGGACATTTGGTGAAAGAAGGTGGACGATTTGCCAAATTCTTCCTCTGTCAAATGAGACCTGCTGCGCTAACACAGTCCATCAGCAGGAAAAATATTGTCATCTCCTATCAGGCCCTGCCATGTGCCAGATGTCTTACATGGTATTCTACACACACGGGCTGAGACCAGGATTCATTTTACAGCTGGAAAAAACTAAGGGCAGGGGTCCTCAAACTACGGCCCGCGGGCCACATGCAAATACAAATATTGTATTTGTTCCCGTTTTGTTTTTTTACTTCAAAATAAGATATGTGCAGTGTGCATAGGAATTTGTTCATAGTTTTTTTTTAAAACTATAGTCTGGCCCTCCAACGGTCTGAGGGACAGTGAACTGGCCCCCTGTTTAAAAAGTTTGAGGACCCCTGACTAAGGGTCAGAGAAGAGAGGTGATATGTCGCAGATCACACTGTCAGAAGAGTAGAGCTGGGCCTCAGGCCCCAACTCTCCCACCCCAAGGCCAGTGCTCCTTCACCCCACAACTCACATGATTTAGTTTGTATGATCACCTTAGAAGCACAGACTCCTGGGTAAACATGAGGTGTTGGTATTTCTCTCTAACAGTCCATCCCTGGGCCCAGCATACCCAGGACCGTTCATGAATTCGCCAGATACCTGCTTTTGTGCCCATCTCTGAGTGTGACAGTCCAGCTGCTTGGCTCGGTGGGTGAAGGCCGGTGCAGGCCTTTGCTTCTGTGTCCCAGGTATGCACTGAGGATGCTCCATAGTGAGGAGGGCTGGAGGGCCCCACAGGCAAAGGCTGAGTCCTGGCCACACTCTGGGTGATCTTAGACCAGTCACCCCTTGGGCATTGGCAGCACAGCTGTAAATTAAAGATAGAACTGGTCATGGCTTGGAGTCCTTTCACCTGTAAAGACGTGTGATCCCACAGAAAAGCTGCCTCAGGCTTCCACATGTAGGAGTAGAGGCCTCATAGAGAAGCATCGAGCCTCACGGTTTCTAGAAAGCTCTCCACGAATTCCAGAGATCACAAATCCCTGCCAGGACCCCCCTGTCTACGTAGAGAACATCCAAAATTTTTATAAGAGTTTAATTTGAGCCAACTGATGACATATAATAGGAGTTCATTAAGCACCGGTTGTATAGATGAAGAACTCCATCCACAGCTCAGGCATTTATTGTTGAGTCTACACTCATCTCAGTTTAACACTCGCTCATTGAGAATGTAGTGGGTGCCATGATCGTGCTCAGTGGGCGCCACACACAGAGACCTGCTCCCTCCCTTGCAGGAGCTTGCAGGAGAATGAGCACCTATGTGAGGGGCAAGCATGAGAAAGAAGATGTAGTTCCTCCCTCAAGAAGTTTACCGGCGTGGGAGGAGGGGAGGGAAAAAAGGAACCAGTGAAAAGGAGATTGGAAACACACACAACCCCAAGTACATTTATTGAGTACACAGATAAAACTGAGATTGTTAAACTATTTTCTAGGCCTTAGGTTAGGGAATAATTTATGTCATTCTGCTAATTACATGTTACTTCTGCTTCATGTATGTGCACAGCCTGGGAGCTCTTGCTCCTGGGCACACAGACCAGCTGACAAGCCTTACTGATCCCCTTTCGGCAGCACCTAGGATGGGCTTGTGGCCTCTACAGTGCCTTGCAGGACAGTCTGCCTGCCTCAGCCAGGGGCCTTTTAGCCAGAAGGGCCCAAGAAGTACTGAAGTTGACTTCTCCACCTCCCCAAAATGTAAATAAATAAAAAGGAGTGTTTATTTAAATTCTTTCAATGCAAGAGAACCTGAAAAGCCAGGCCAGGCCTAGTGTTCCTAGAGCATGTCCTCAGTTCTTCAGATTCCCAAGTCCAAATTTCCAAATTCTCTTATTTTCCCAAGTGAGGCCTTAAGTCCTAGATGCTGGCTGGCCTATGGGCAGAAAGCCCCTGGGTCAGGTGTCCACAGCCTGGTGCAATCAGCCTATCCCTAGGCAGGAATCTATAGTATAAAACAAGGCCCCCTCAGGCCAGAGATAAGGACCCCAGAAGAGGACTGGGCCAGGACTGAGAAATTTCATTAGAAGTGTGCCTTTTAGGGCTAAACCCAGGGAAGTTCCAGGCAAACCCAGGTGAGCTGGTCACCAGTACAGCCAACAGCACATCTATTTCATGCCCATATCTCACTCATTCTGAGGAACACATTTCTTTCCATTTAACATCACTGAAATCAGACTGTGTTTTAAATGGGTGGTATCCTCCAAAGGCCGTCAGCTGGGGTTGACGCCGAGTTCTCTGGAGAGGATGCACGCTTGCTGGTCACTTCGGGGGCACTAGCAACCAGACCACTTTAAGTACATTTCCGGTTTGACTTCTCTAGACCAGATGGACAGTGTGAATTCTGACCTCAGATCTGCATGAGGGCAGGGCTGTGGTTCAGATTCCCAGGGGAGGACTGTTTTTCCTCCCTCCACAGAGCGCCAAGGGTGAGACATGCACATTTCCGGCCAGTCTCTTCTTTGGGAAGATTTCTCTCTGGTGTCCCAGCATCAATGTGCAGTCTGCTTCTTTGGCACTTTTCCCCCTTGCTTACATGAAATAGTGGTGCAGCTTACAGTTGATGGTGCCTCCGGCTGGAGAAAGTACAGATAATCAACCCCCCACCACCAGCGTGCGGGCAGAGGGCCATCGTTGGTGTTGGGAGGAGGCACAGTGCTGGAACTCTGGGCTGGATCCAGAAAATACAGAGGCCGTTCTCCCCATCGAGGCCTCTGCCCTCACGAGCCTCACTCTGAGCGTAGGGGTCCCCTTAGAGACCTGGGCAGCCCTGCAACCCACTGAAAATGCTCTTCTTCCCCAGATTCTCCAGAATGGCCCGTGTTTAGAAACACCAATAGCTTTCCCTACAGACACAAAGCCATATGTGTAAAATGGTAAAACCCTCCAAAATGCTGCCCTGTGTAGAAATCCCAAGGAAGCAGAATTGTCATAGAGAAAAGGAGGACGAGGCTGTCTTTAAACTTGGAAACCAGTATCCACGTTCTCCAGCCCCAGGTTTTCCATCACTTCCTAGATATGTGAGGCCTGGTCCCTTTCATCAGTCCATTTCATCAGACATTCCCTGAGGGCCCCTGCATCCAAAGCACCATGAACTCAGCTCCACTCACCCCTCCTCTCTTTCTAGGCCACCGTGGTCTGCCTCTCTGGTATCATATCCCAGCTTCCTGGGCTAAGCTCCTTCCAGTCCAGCCCAGGCAAGGCCAGCACCCTCCTGCTGCACTGAGGCAGCCACTGCAGGGCAGAGGCCGGTGCTGGGTCTCCTGCCCTGGGGGCCGGTGTGCCTGCACCCTGAAAAGGCCTTCCCAGCTCTGCCCAGCCTGCTCGGACTGGGAGTGGGAGTAGGGAGGACCGGATGCCAATTCCAGGCTGACTAAAGGGAAGGAGTATGAGATTTTGAGGAGCACTGAAAGTCCAGTTTGAAAATTAATGAACAGAAACCTCATTTAAAATGGAGTCAGGAGGCTAGAGGAGAGAACTCTTGTACTGCTCAACGCAGACTACCGACCCCACCAGGAAGAGACGGACCTTGCATCTCTGGCAGGGAGTGATACTACCTCAGCAGGAGGAAGAAAAAATCTCTCCTTGCCCAGTACAGCTCAGCCAATGGGAGATTTCCACAGCTCGGCATTTCCACATTCCAAGAGTGGGAGAAGAACTCATTGTGGGAAAGAATCTATCTTTTGTTTTGGAAAGCGTTTTAACAGACCCTTTAGTTAAGCAAAGGTAGGGGGCCCTGAAGCCAGGTTGAAGCCAATAGGTGCTACACTGCTCTGCATTATAAAGTCAATATTCAAGGATTCTTTTTCCTTTGTTGATCCTAGATGTATAGATCAGTAAAATAGAATAGAGAGCCTAGAAATAAATCCTTACTTAAAGGTCAGTTAATCTACAACAAAGGAGGCAGGAATATGCAATGCAGTAAAAATAGTCTCTTCAATAAGTGGTGCTGGCACCCTAGCCGGTTTGGCTCAGTGGATAGAGCATCAGCCTGTGGACTGAAGGGTCCCAGGTTTGATTCTGGTCAAGGGCACATGCCCGGATGGCAGGCTTGATCCCCAGTGGGGGGCATGCAGGAGGCAGCCAATCGACGATTCTCTCTCATCTTTGATGTTTCTGTCTCTCTCTCCCTTTCGCTTCCTCTCTGAAATCAATAAAAATATATTTTAAAAAAATAAGTGATGTTGGCTTAATAACTTCTCTCTAGTGCTGAATACATGGACTAGATGTACCACAGTTTACTTATCCATTCACCTGCTGACGGACATCTTGGTTGCTTCCAAGTTTAGGCAATTAGGAATAAACACGTGTGGGCAGGGAAATGTGTGGGCATAAGTTTCCAGCTCCTTTGGATAAACACCAAGGAGCGCAATGGCTAGACTGAATGGTAAGCGTACATTTGGTTTTCCGAAGTGGCTGTACCCTTTTGCATTCCTACCAGCAGTGAGTGAAAGTTTCTATTGCCCCATGTCCTCACCAGCATTTGGTGTTATCGGCGTCATCTCATTGTTTATCTTGTTGTTTTAAGTCACTAAATTTATCATCATTTGTTATAGCAGAATAGAAAACTAGCATCGTGCAAAGAGGTGACAAGGGACCAGGAGACTCAGTACTGCCATCCACTCACTGTGTTTCCTGGTCGGTTACCTGACTCTTCAGGGCTTCAGCCAGCGGGAGACTAAGCTGGAAGCAGTAATTCCTGCCCTAGCCTTTGCAGGAAGCAGTGAGTCAATTTGGGATATGATGGCTGTCACCATAACACTTACTATGTAGAAACACAGTGAAGCACAGTATTTCTTCACTGTAATAGCACAGTGAATAAAATGGGAAAGGCTGAGGGGTGGTTTTGTGGCTCTGTCAGTACCAGTGCTTTTGGTGGGTTCAACCTCTGAGGAAGCTATCAGCCCATCATGACTCTGCAAGCCCTCGGGCCTCCTACAGGAGCACGCAGGGGCAGGAGCTGGCCCTGTGGGGCACTCAGGCAGGGCATGAGTCAGACCTGGTGTCTACCTGCATGAAATATGGCAAGGTCTTCACCTAGACTTCCGCCCTCAAGTAGGAAATGCTCGAAGGCAAGGCCTTGCTGACATCTGAATTGCACAACTACACTTGAGTTCCCAGCAGACCCTGCCCATTCACTGAAGATATCGAGTGCTCAGCAGAACTTAAGCCAGACACAGACTCATAGGCAGCAGCATTTAATAATCATGCCCTCCAGGTGTTCTCCACTCATGGTTACTAATCCTCCCAAGAACACTGCATTGATATTCACCTTTCACAGAGGTATGCACAGGTTCTAGAACTTGCAGAAGAGCATGCAATTAGTAAGAGGTAGAGCCAAGATATAAACTCAGGTCTGCCTGGCCACAAAGTATCCTGTATCTTGTATACCTCGCTGGAAAGAATCTTAGACTCCAAGGAGTCCTGTCTGACACTTTGTAAATGAAGAAGAGAGGTGAGTTGTCCAAGTTTTCTCAGCTAGTTAGAGCCAGAGTGGGAACTCAGTTTCTTGACTCCTGGTCCATTATTCTTTCTATTAACCTTTGAGGGCAGCTTCCAAGTTTAGGCAATTATGAATAAAGACAGTATTTAACTCTTCCCAGATTTCTTTGGGAAGCTGATACAAACTGTGGATCCTTCCTCTCCTAAAATGAACATTGACACACACTTATTTTGCTTACAATTTTGGGGTGAGTTTATGAACCATCCCCCTCTATCTGTGGACACCCACGTTAAGAGCCCTCGCATTATACCTTCTGCCTCTCTCGAGTGCAGGATTATGAACAGGGTGGGAACCTGAAGATGCTGTATATTAACGAGTCTTGTAAAAGAGAGGGTTGTTTTGCCTATAATCATATATCCTCTGTCTTTCACCTATCTTTATTTTTTATAACAACTTCATTGAGACATAATTCACATACTATATAATAAGCTCTTCTGCTTGCCGAAA